TGAGCGACATCAAAGAGACTGTTTTTCTGGCATCGTCTGTTGCTGATAAAGCGGGCAAGGAACAGGGTTGTAAATTGCTCCCACGAGATGATTGATCGAGGAGGAAGGCTGGAGAACCAGCGGTGAGCGGTCCCCCTGAAGGTAGCCTGGAATGTCAACGTCAAGGTGTCGAAATAGTCGTACAATATCATGAGCACTCTGAAACCCTCCAAGTGGTCATCGGGGTCAGTGTTTCCATCATACGTCTCCAGTGTGGGAGCCTTGAAGTGTGGGGGGAGAGGCTCTGAGATGATTTCTTGGGTGAATTAGTCCATAAGACCGGCGGAGTTGCCATGACTGGTTGAGGCATCGACTCAGCTCTCCTTAACCTGGCGGAGCTCGTCCTTGATAGCCCCAATCTCGGCTCTCAACTCGGCAAGCCTTGGGTCAGCATGGACATGGGCCCTGCTCCAGTCTTCGCGGATCCGATGGGTGTCATCTTGGACTCCCGAATACTCTAAGGTAGGGTCACGCGCTCCATTGTGGGCATGACGGTCATTCAGAATGTCCCTGAGGTCTGAGACGAGAGGTGTAGTGGGATGACATCGGCTCTCGCCTCGGGAGCGAACTCCAGAGTGGCTGAACTGCTCTCCATCGTCCTGGGGCCTCCCAACGACAATGATGGTGCTGCTCCGAAGATTGATGATTGTCTTTGGATTGAGCGAGCACACTCTCCCTTCAGCTAGAAGGACAGACGCTCCTTCGAGGTGAGTCCGGGAGGCGGTTATTGCTCGATTCTGATGGTCCGGTACCTCAATGTTCTCGTGTTGGACCTGATCCTCTGACACCCCAGCGGGCAGTCGCCTTGAGAGGGACCTCCTGCTCGGGGGAAAATTTCTTCCATTCGTTGGGTGAGGCGGTCCAAACAATCAAAGACGACCTGAAACTATTTGTAGGTAACCAGGTTCGGATTGTTCCTGGCTCTCCCTACCATGATTTCCAAGCTTAAAGAGGGTTTGGATCTAGAGTGTTATTATCGTTTATCCCAGAGTGGGGGTCGTCTTAGCAACCACATTCCTACAGATGGTGCCAATTGTTGTCGTGTGGGTTGGCTGAGGGAAACAAGGTAAAATCACTCTTAAGGTTTCGAGCGCTAACCGAAGACCTCGGGGCCTCGGAAGAGGTTGATCAAAGCCAAGAACAACTAGTCGAGGTAAAGTACTCCTTCCGAAGTCTATGGAAGCTAAGGACTGCTTGTCGAGGCGAGGTCCCTAGTGACCTGAGATACTGCAAGACAGGGAGTGTCAGAGACCACGGGGTGGATATCTGAGGCAGAGGCTCCGACGCTCAAGTTAGTATGAGGTGTGAAGTAGGGGAGAGTGCAAAAGTGCTCTTGGAGAGAGTCATTGAATGCACCAAATCTCCCTGAATTAATGCTAGGTAGTCAATGTAGGTGCAGGAAGTAAATGAGTGAGTAATGTTGGAGTTACTCCGTTCCAACCCCTTTTAAGGTACAATTACCTCTTATTTATACTTGAGCGTATTGGTGGTAGGTGAAGATGAACGCCTCAGATGAGAGCCGTATGAGGTCAGACTGCAGGCCCTGATGGTACACTGGATAGTTATATGATTGGCTCTGTATGAAGGCAACAGGGCTTCCTCCTACTGTGACAGATGTTAGTAGGTATTAGTGGGTTGGGCCTCCTAGCCCTACTTGGGCTAGGCCAAGCTAACCCACATCAATACTCATTCAGGAGTAGGACTGTAATTGGGGTGGGTTTAGCAAAATCCAGAAAGACCTTGGATTCAAATTGGAATCCTAACGGACATTGATTGGGTTTGAATTTAATCTAACATTGCTTTGATTTTTTAAAATAAAAAATTTAAAAATTAATTACTTTTCAGCATATAATAAATTAATGTAAATATGCATACTAAATTTATTACATTTATTAATTTATACATTATATAATATATAAAAATATTTTTATAATTTTAACTATAGCTATATAAAACTTATATATTAAAATCAATAAATATTATAATATAATCAAATTTTAATTTTAATTGGATCAATTCGGACCACTAATGTTAGGAGTCTAATGTTAGAGAGTCTCCCACCAACTTCGAGAGCAGTTGTTAAAGCCATATCACTTGAACCTAGTATGCCCATTGGACCAATGGACAAATGTCAAACATGGTAGAATTTCAACATGGCTAATGGTGCTTAACAGTGTCTACAACAAATTTCATAAAGATAAATATATGCATTCAATATAAGGGAATCAATTTACTAATTAGGGAAGAATAAGAAAATCCAATATAAGGGAAAAATACAAAATTGGCTTCTTTACTTTTCCACTAAATGCAATTGAATTGTGTGAATATCTGGGTGTACTAATATCAGAAAAGAGACTGTTTTACATACTTACCCCTATGAATTCATGAGATTTTTCTGGGTAGATGAAGAGAGAAAAAAAAGAAAGGAAAAAATGGAATTAAAATGTTCCAGCATTGGCCCACCAAGTAAAGAGAATCAACAGATAAACAGTGTTGTGAAAGAGAGGTTGGGTTTTATGTAAGAATAAAAAGCATGGACATTTTTATCAAATTGTGAGGTCATTTTTGGATGAAATGATTATATAACACATCCCAGCTGATACAGATTGGAGCCACTAAGAACAATCTTTAAAAATTAAAATTAAGAATCTTCAGATCTAAAAGTATAAGAGTAGGGGGAGAAAATGCTGTTAATGTAGCATTTTGAGTAAGAGTTTTTTTCGTGAAGTTGGCTTTTTTGGGCTTGGGCTTGTTGCTTATTCCAGTCCGTGGGGTGAGTTGAGTCTCAATTGGGGCCTGGTTCGGTTGTAGGTTCGGTGGCGTTGTTGTGATTCAATCAGCTACTGATCTGTGTTTATGTGGCGTTTCCCGTTTTCTCTTGGGTCCCTTGGATTATTCTTCGTATATATGTTCTTTTCTTCTCTTTCATCTTTTAAAACATTTTATTTTTATTACTGGGGTTTTTACCGTTCAGTCCACCTCTGAAATTAATCCTAACTCTATCGTACAGCTGGGAATAGCTGCCAGTTTGGAACTGATGCTAATTGACAGACGGGTATGGGGCATTTTGGTCAATAAAAATTAAATCTATGTCCAACAGAATTCTATTCGGAATCAGCTGGAATGGATTTTCATTCCTAAGGGAGGAAATTGGAATGGCCCATTCAGATTCTAAACCCCATTGTTACGAATCAAAGGGATCTTTAATTTTAACTTTCAATTATATTTGGATTGAAAGACCTCATTGCTGATATGAATTCTTAGGATCCAACATGGAGTTAATTGAACAGCTGGTTTATTTTTTTTAATAAATAAAAATAATTTATTAAAGAGAAAAAGAGAACGATTACAACATAGTCCAAGAGGGAGGGGTCTGGGAACCTGGACCAGAACTACATAAACGCAACTCAAAACAATGACTGAAATCAACAAATCAACGTGAGACAATCTTATTAGAAGTTTAGAACAACCCCAAAACAAAGATGTCATTGAAAAAACTGAGCAACGATAACAATTCTGTTTTCCTAAGCAATCTTTCTCCCAAACACAAAACCCCGCATCTACGCACGCCAAACTCAGGAGAAACAGCCTCTGCTCAAGTGTGAAGCTATCTCGACACCCGACCTTTCCCTCCCCAACCTCTGCTCTACTTGTCTTTGCATTTCTCAAATCCGCCCTCATTCAGACGTCTATGTAAAAATCTACGAATCTCAGCTTTCTGCTGCCAGGGGGTCCGTCGAACTTGAGCTCATCGTCCACTTCTTCTCTTCAAGTGAAAAATTGCTCTCCAACTCCTCGTCTCGAAGACTGTTTTCTTTCTCCCTCTCCCTCCCTTTCCCTACATTTTCCTCACCTCTCACAAAAGAAAAGGCCGCATTATTTTGCTACTTGAACCTCTCGATCTACCAGTCTCTCCACAAAATTCAAGTCTTCCGAGCATCCGCCTGGAGCTTGCTCCTGATCCTGCTCTCTATGACTGGATAGTTGTTTCTGTATTGCAAAAACTCGTCCTTTCAGAGTGAGATCCATGTATACTTTTATTTGGATTCACTTTTATCATGTTAAAGTGGAATATCTTTATTATTTAACCAGTGGCTGAACCTGTTCTCACCCAGGGTAAACTATTCGTTGCATCTTTTCTACGAAGCAAATATCATTTTACTTCTAATATTTATCTTTTACCCCATTTCATGAATAATATATATAAGTTTTAATAAATATCAGTAAGATTTAATTTGGATATTTGTATACCTTGTATTTGTGTTTATTGTAAATTTTTTATTTTATCTTAAAGAAAGAATAAGATTATCAATATTAATCAATATTCGCTTTTGATATATGATTATGTTTTTTTCGGAGAAGTCTTTTTTTTCAAGGTGACTAATAAGAAGAACATTTTCTTTTTATTTTTTCTGTTTTTCTTGTTAAAGTAAAATACCATGTTTAAAGGAGAAAAGTTAAGTCTCCTATCCACGGTGAATAACAAATCCACATCACCCATGTTTTTGCACAGACTATCCTAGCTGTAGGTGGATAACAAACTGAATTTCTCACCAGACTATCCTCGCTGTAGGTGTAACCATTTTCAAAACCTAGCAAGCAGCGAATTTAGCCCTTACCCCACTCAGAACTCAGAAGCATCACAATGTCTTTTCCTTCTCATACAACATTGAAGTATGAGCTTTCACATGCTACCAAACTTTCAGACTTGTATATATATCTGCTAGACCCCTCTGTGGAGGCAACCCCATGTCTAATTTCTTCTCTTTCTGTTCTCTTTCTCCTCTTCTTTGTAGCTAGCCAGCCTCCTTTTGTTTCACCCATTTCAATGGAAACATGACTGATCTGATTTGGGTTTCGATAGATCAGAAGACAACCTCAATTCTTCATTTCTTTTCTTTCTGCTTTCTTCACTTAATTTCTTTTGCTATTGAAGAAACCTCGATCGGTTTAAAGTAGACATGAGTGTATCAGTGAATGGCCAGTCTCAAGTCCCACCAGGTTTCCGATTTCATCCAACAGAAGAGGAACTCTTGCACTACTACCTATGGAAGAAAGTGACCCATGAGAAGATAGATTTCAATGTAATTCGAGAGGTGGACCTCAATAAGCTGGAGCCATGGGATATACAAGGTCGTGTTTCTTCTTCCACAACCATCTTTATTTCTTTTCATCATTAATTTCTATTGCAAGAAATATATTTCCCCGTTTCATACCATGAAACAGATTTCTTTTCTTTTTTTTTTAAAGAAAAAAGAGGTTTTATTAAATATCATAAAAAAGGGGGCATAAGACCTGACCCTAAGAATTATATAAGGAGCAACAGCCCTATAAACCAGGGAGAAAAGAAATAAATCAAAATCGCGAATAACATTCGGGGATGATAACATTTGTTTATTCTTGATGATCTTATTCGAACTTCTGATTGGGATGAAATCTAGACTTCCTTAGACTTAGAATTCACTTTCACTCTTTCCATGCATGAAAGGATGCTCAATCCGAGAGTGAAGAAGGACTGAACCTTAACCATCACTGGTTTTAGGTTTCTGTAACATGAAACATTCTAGTCTGGTAGTCTCCTGTGGTGCAGTATTTTAATTAAAAGTATGCAAGATTTTTAGACATGTTTCTGCACCATAGAATTGTTTTCATTTATCCGTATTCCAGTTTTGAGACCCATGTCTAGACCTTAACCATCACTGGGTGTGGGTGTTTTAAGTGATCGTTGGTGATGAACTGATTCTGACTTTGTGATTGTATAGAAAAGTGTAAAATCGGATCCAGCCCTCAAGATGATTGGTACTTCTTCAGTCACAACCACAAAAAGTACCCAACAGGAATGAGAACCAACCGTGCCACCAGGACCGGGTTCTGGAAGGTCACCGGCCGTGATAAGGTCATTTATGGCAACTCCACGCGAATTGGTATGAGGAAAACACTGGTGTTTTATAAAGGTCGAGCCCCAAATGGGCAGAAGTCTCATTGGATAATGCATGAATACAGACTCCATGACCACTCCATTGATACCAACGTAAGCCATCCTCTCTCTCTCTCTCTCTCTCTCTCTCTCTCCATCTTTGCTTCCTATTCTTGTTTTTGACTATTAGTTCACAAATACTAGGCATCCAGTCCAGCGGGAGAGACTATACAGGAAGAGGGGTGGGTGGTTTGCCGTGTTTTCAAGCAGAAAAGCCCTCGAAGAAATCTGGGTAGCAGAAACAATCCATCAGTTAACGTACACGCGAGCACTTGCACGTCGAATTCGAATATGAAAGGAAGATCCATGGAGCAGATGATGACTAAGATTAACCAACAAGAAAGCCAGACAGACGAAAATGTCAATGACAATGCCACCACCAACAGCGACATGAGACTTCTCAGGCCGATTGAGATGGCTATCAACAATGGGTTCCCAGAAGAACTGAGTCTGACACAACAGCTTCAGGCACCAGAGTCCCCAGTTCTTCCATCACTAGAAGAAGAAAAAACAGAGTTCGATTTGATTCAGCTGGGTGGTAGCCCCCAAGCTTCTTACCAACCCATCCGTCTAAAAACCCTACATCTGCTCAATGACACTGACCCATCTGTCACCAACCAAGACAGCAACAATGTAAACATGGTTTGCCGTATTACTGAACCAGGGCTCAGCAAATGGGCTGCAATGGACCAACTGATCGCGTTCCATCTTAATGGTCCCGCAGAAACATGCAAGCAGCTAGCTTGCTTCAGCATGGCCTTCTGTTCAGCTCCTGATTATAATCTTCAACTACCGCAACTACATGACTTAAATGGATCAACACAACATACTCATACCTCAAAGGACCCTAACAGTGACATTGATCTATGGAGCTTCACTTGATCTGGTGGATCCACCTTGCCGTGTTGAACCCTTTTCAACAGCTGAAATAGATCACAAGACAAGTCGTACGTCAACATATAAGATGAGTCATAATAATCTTCAACCTACAATAGTGAAGATCTATTTCTTCCATGTTATCATCTATTTATTATCTTTAATAACTTAATCATCATGTATCGATCCATTTTATCTTTTGTCATTGAGGAATATCATAAGTTTATCCTGGTTAGTGTGAAAATATCTTCTTACCAATAATTCAAATAATATTCTTGTTGGAGAAAATGAGGTCACTGTAACTTTGGAGGAGAAGCTCTGAGGTGCGTCTGAAGACACTATCTTTAGAACGTTATTTGCCCCCACTTAGTTTTATTGAGTTTGTTGTTGGGTTACAGGCAAATTCGTTCCCAGGATACAACAGAGCCTTGGGCGAGAATCTGTAACCACCAAAGTTGAAGAGTCTCCAAAGAAACCTTCTGTGAGACTGTAACAGACCGGACTGAGAGAGAGAGAGAGAGTGAATTTCGAAATTGTGTGTTTTGGAGTTTGATTCATGCTCCTTAAATAATTTATGAAGATGTATGAAGAAAAGGTAGGTGCTGGTTTAAACATTGTGACTATTTAAAAAGTAGTTAATAGTTAGTGACTGTTAACTTTGAATTGTGCCTCTTGATCACACCCGATCGAATCGTGACCGTTGATCTCATCAACGGTGATCAACGGTCAGCAACGCACCAAAACCAAAGCCGTCCATCGTGAGCCACGCGGGTGCGAGCAAAGTGCGCCTCTAAAGCGCCTCATTGCGCCGCACACACGTGTGCGCGCGCATTGCGCGGTATCGAATCCCCATATTCTCCTCTACTAATTCTAAGGAGTGTAAATCGGCTTCTATTGAAATACTGAAAACAAAACTTATAATTTTCCAATGTGGGACACGTTCAAAACTGGGTTTTGTAAGAGAAAAAATGATTTTTCAATCAAGTGTGCAGGTGCAATTTCTCATGTAATTGACCAATCAAACTCATTGGATTTAATCTCTTATGAGATTAAAATCCAACAATCTCCCACATTGATTGATCAATTACATAGTTTTCTCTCAATCCAAACTACTATAACACAATTATGCATACAAAAGGTGTTTATCAACTTAAACCTTTTGTTAGTATAGATATCTCAGAGCCTTGTCAAAGTTATTGGTGGTAAGACATTAAACCAATTACTCTCAAGACAGACCAGAGACACCCATACACACAAAAAATGTCTAGTCCCTACAAGAGTTTCAAGTTTTGCTCAGCACTGTTATGGCCATGTGCTTCTTTCTGGTTTCATGAACAATCCCGAGAGCAAACCCAAACCCTCATGAGAAATGGCACCACTTCTATGTTCACATAGGTGAAGTTCCACTATGTGCTCCGTTATTTGACACATTTCAGAACTTCATTAAGAGTTTATCTCAACCTTTCATCATAATGGACAACACTGTTTATGATGTGATGGGAAATTTCTCAATGTTAGTGCTAATAGTCACATTGCTGTAACTTGTTACCCATTAAACCTAATACTGATGGTTTTCAGTTCAGGTTGGGTTACCATTACAGGTGACTAAGTAAAGGGTTTTAATCCCATCTCTTTGGATGTCATTCTTACCAATTCTCTGGCCAAATCCTTGGTAAGAGGATCAGCCAAGTTTTTACTTGACCTCAGATAGGTTATAGTGATGACTCCATCTTGAATCAGTTGCCTAACAAATTCACGTCTCAGACTTATATGTCTACACTTACCAATGTAGGTACCACTGTAGACCCTTGACAGAGTTGCCTCACTATCACAGTAAATGGAAATTGGAGGCATAGGACTAGGCCAAAGTTTTATATCCAATAATAAATTCCTAATCCATTCAGCCTCTTTTCCAGCAGCCGCTAAGACTATGAATTCGGATTCCATGGTCGAGTGAGATATACAAGTTTGTCTCTTGGATGCCCAAGAGATTGCACCCCCACCAAGGACGAAAATCCATCTAGATGTGGACTTGTTATTTCCATTACCGATAATCCAACTTGCATCAGTGTACCATTCTAGTACAGCTGGATAATCACAGTAAAACAAGCCATGTTCCAAGGCTCTCTTGAGATACCCAAGAACTTTCCCAATTGCCTTCCAGTGCTATGCACCAGGATTACTTGTAAACCGATTGAGTTTACTTACTGCAAATGCAATATCAGGTCTGGTACAAAGCATAGCATACATCAAGCTTCCTACTGTACTAGCATACTCAAGTTGCGCAATTGCTCTACCAGTATTTTCTACTAGCTTTATACTAGAATCATATGGCGTGTTATATTCTTTAAACCCTAAATGCTTAAATTTCTCAAGTACTTTCTCGATATAATGTGATTAGCTTAATGCATAGCACCTACTGTGCTTTTTAACTTTTATTCCCAATATGATATCTACTTCTCCTAAATCTTACATCTTGAAAACAGAGGATTAGTAGTTTTTAGTTTCATTTATGCCAACCATATTGGTACCTACAATAAGCATATCATCAACATAAAGACATACAATTACTCCATAATTTTCAGTGAATTTTGAGTAAATGCATCTATCAGCACTATTATGTTTAAAACCAAAAACTATGATGCAAGAATCAAATTTCTCATGCCACTATTTAAGTGTTTGTTTTAATCCATATAGTGATTTAACCAAT